AATGCTCTGATAGGGAATCTCATTTCAGTATGGCTCGTATTTAATGTGCACGACTGGCACTTATTGCGCACAGGACACATCTGTCAGAGGAAAAAGTATTTCATTAAATGTATCCACTACAAAAAGTGCAACGGATAACATCTGAAGAGGTCGTTATGAATAACACTCTTCGTCTTGTAAGTCGCGAAGCGATGTAACTCTTCGATCTTGTCCCATGTTAGTCGCGAGGCGACGTGACTCTTTGACTTCAATGTATATCAGTTTCGAAGCAACATGATCCCTTGCCTTCAACAAAAATTCCGCTAAGTCAATCAGGTCGTCAACCTCGAATGAAGATCAAAGTCATCGTCATGGCACTAAATATGGTCTAAGAACAAGTCGCTAACCCTTAAAGTAAAGGCCATTTCAGGTCGCCTACATGGCAATGTTTCCTCGACCTCTTTGCAACCAGGTCGGGTTGACCAGTATCTCTTCAAACGCATCAAGTCATGGCATAATATGTAGTTTCCAATGTTCGATTCTCAAACCTAAAAAACTAGGGTACTTCTGTTATGCCTGAAAAAGTAGGGCTGATGCAGAGCCTTGTTAGCGTAAGCGGTTAGAGCTTAGGTAAGTCCTGCAACCACGTTGTGTGCTAATGTGAGCGGCATGCTCTTGCCAGTGCAGTGGGTGTGTGCCAGACTAACGAAAGGCTGGAGACGGTCCACGTGTCCAATCCCTGCACATATCGCATAAATCACTTTAGCAGGTGAGCAACGGGACACAAGGAAGGATTTGCACAACAATCTAACCCACTCATAGATTTAGAAATCATTACCTCAACTCATCCCATTATAAATAGAGAGTTTTTCTCCCGTTTGTGGGATTAACTAATTTCTCTCTAGAATAGCACATATATTCTCTCTTGCAATCACTTGTAAATCAGCTTGTTGAACGCGACCTGATCTCATATATTAATACAATACCAGTGGACATAGAATTCGCTTACTTAAGCATCCGAACCACTTTAAATATTGTTCTCCATCTTTTATTCAATTCCATACTCCCATTCACGTGTGTCTTCTGAGTCAGCTCAGCATTTCACATGTGTGTTCAGTTGGTGTCAAAATCAAGCATCAACAGATTACCATCCCCATTGCTCACGTGATTCTCATTAGCACCACACGCAATGTCCTCAGCCTGTTTCGTCTGTTTGTTCTTTGTGAATAAATAATCTTCAATTCTTTTGAGTTGAAGAAGAATATGGAAGGCTTGAGAATTTCTACAGATCATTGATACCAGCAAATTGAAATTTAAACTCTGGAATAGCAAATGTTACTTCTTTGATCTCCTCGATAGAAGTATTCATGAGAAATTGTAAACGGTATGCACCTTCAACAGGCTTGTATGTAGCAGAACATGGTATGACCTTCACATTTTTAATCAGATATATATGGCCTTCACGAATTTGGTTCTTAAATTTTACAACTCTATTTTTGGGTATAGTCTCATGCATCACATCATGCTATAAAAATAATTACAAATAAAAAAGGTTAACAAACTTACATAATTTCAATGTTAGTAAAATTATATAACTTAACAAAAATATATAATATTTGTTCATCAATAAGAATCATATCAAGACTAATTAGCTCATTGTCCCTTCTAAAATTAAAACATTCCCACAATCTAGAAACCCTAACAATCAGTATCCAATCATCTTGCAATTGATTAATATCTTTAAATAAAATATTCAAAACTGTCATAACTCTCCAGCAAAGATATTAATCCAAAGAATCAAAATCTATGCAAAAATCAATTCAATAATCCCCCAAACACATGAAAATTGTTTTATCTGAGAATGCAATATGTCAAACAATATACAATACAATTACATATATTCTAGAAAAAACACGGATGAACATCAAATTGTACAAAAAACAGTATATAATGCTAACAAAATATTGTTCGGCAATATTTTTGTAACAATTATCATGACTAAATTAAAACAAAGTTTCAATATAATATCACCAAGAATTAACACTATTGTTCGCCCAAAAAAAAAATATAAATCATATACAATGTGAACAAATTATTTAATATCTTTAAACATAACATTCGACACTGCCATAACCCGCCTGCAAAGATGTTAATCGAATTATTAACAAACAAATAAGCATATTACAATAATTCATGCTCCCCAACTAATGGCTCACCTCGATTGTTACAATTAGACACAGTCATTCAACAATAATTTCAATCATAAGGAAATGCGATAGCACTATAATGATTTTTTATATAGCTTATCTCAACAAATAGAGGTGTTTATGCTGAATTTATATAGTTATATAGCTTCTCCTAGATCATAATATTTGTTCACATTGCTTAAAATTACGCAGTGTCAAAGGTACTGTATTAGAAACAAATAACCATATTACAATAATTCTTGCTACCAATTGCTTTCGTTTACTCAAGTTGTACAAACTAATGACTTATATCGATTGTTAAAATTAGACGTGATCATGAGGAAATGCAATAGCACATTAATCAGTCAACCACAACAGAAGCATTGTTGGAAGCTGTTCGACAAATATACAGACAATTGTTCGACATAACTCAACTTTTATTGTTGTAACCTCAACTTACAAAAGCAGTCAATATATATATACTACAAAAAAAAGCATTGTTAATTTTGACAATGTGTGTTATTGTATATACATGTTATTAAAGTGTTTCAAAACCAAATAATACGGAAATTAAATAAGTCAACCGCAACAAAAAGCATGGTTTTATTTGGCATGATTCGACCATTTATTGTTGTAACCTGAACTTACAAAAGCACTATAAAGCAGTTATCATAAAAACTAAATAAGAGTACAACAACACAACAACAAAATAATTTAAAACAACTAAAAAATCGTAGAGCAGCAAATACAACTACAATTATACAAAGATGGTTCCTCACATAAATGACTCAAAAGCAACAAAAAATACTGTTCAAAATTGTTAACCAAATACATAAAACAAAACCTACACTTAATAATAAGTAATCAAACAGGACCTCTAACAATACAACAACAGACTAATTCCAACCAACTGCAATGATAATACCAAAAAATAAAAAAAATACCTGCAACACTGCGTAAGTTCCAACACAACAACAGATATCAAGATATAGCCAAAAGCATAAAAAAAAAAAAATAGACCGATATATATATATATATAAGGGTTGTGCAATTTATCTCTTAATATTCATGGAAATCAATAACACACCATATCAACAAATTAATAATCACGAATACAATCTTTCTATATCTATATACTCTGAATGTGAATATCAAACATTTGCATAAAACATTGAATATATGAGAGATATATAATGTGTCTCTTAATATTCACAGAAATCAATAACACAATCTATCTATATCTATTTACTGTGACTGTGAACATCAAACGTTTGAAACATTAAATACATGAATCGAATGCATATGAATCATTAGTAATTTATCAAATTAAAAGAGGAATGTGAAAAATCTGTATTGAATATATTAATTGAATGCATGTGAAAAATCTCTATTTTGTCAACCTCAATAAACAGCAAACATGAGGACCAATTAACGACATCCTACATGGAAAATTAGATGAAGAATGTGAAAGATTTGAAGAACAAACCAAATAGCAAACCCAATAAACAGCAAACACATGGACTAATTAATGACATCCTACTTGGCAATCATATACCGATTTTTCAGCAGTCCTACATGGTGTCAAAAGCATATGAAATGTTTGCATAAAATATTGAATATATAAAAGATATAAAATGTGTCTCTTAATATTCACGAAAATCAATAACACAATCTATCTATATCTATATACTGTGAATGTGAATATCAAACATATAAAACATTGAATACACGAATCGAATGCTATGAATCATTAGTAATTTATCAAATTAAAAGAGGAATGTGAAAGATCTGTATTGAATACATTAATTGAATGCATGTGAAAAATCTCTATTTTGTCATCCTCAATAAATAACAAACACAAGGACCAATGAACGACATCCTACATGGCAAATTAGAAGAGGAATGTGAAAGATTTGAAGAGCAAAGCAAATAGCAAGCCCAATAAACAGCAAACACGTGGACCAATTAACGACATCCTATATGACAATCATATACCGATTCACAACAGTCCTACATGGCATCAAAAGCAACAGTCAGCTTCAGCAAAAGAGGAATGTGAAAGATCTGTATTGCATACATTAATTGAATGTATGTGAATAATCCATATTTTGTCAACCTCAATAAACAACAAACACGGGGACCAATTAACGACATCCTACATGGCAAATTAGAAGAAGAATGTGCAAGATTTGAAGAACAAACCAAATAGCAAGCCCAATAAACAGCAAACACGTGGACCAACCTACATGGCAATCATATACCGATTCTCAACAGTCCATCATGGCGTTAGAACCAGCATTCTGCTTCAACATTATATAGATATATTGATGGGAGAAAATAAAAATCCAAAGTAATGGAATGACAAAGGCCTCAAGGGACTCTAATATTCTACTATTAAATTAATTTGTTATCATTTGTTTATTTCTTTGAATTTTTTTTTTTTTTACTGGGGTGCCCAAACCAGCTTAAACACACTTTAACTAATTCTTGAAAGATACATAAGTTGATCCAAACATCTCAGTTAAAAATATATATATATATATATTTACTAAACCCTAAAAATTTATTATTGTGAAGTCAAGACTCTCTCTCTATTCTTCATGACCCAAATTACTCAAAAAAAGGCTAAAAATAAACAGAAAGTTGAAACTCATCCGTTAACATAGTTAAAAATACAATTTTATTTTTTTACCAAACAATAATTTTTTAATTTATGAAAAAACTATATTATAAAATTCAACAATTGGGCAATTTTTATTTATTTATTACATATATTAAAACTTATTTAACAAATAATATATTTTTCTCTAAATTCTTGCAAGACCAACACTAAGATCATATTGTCGGCTACTATCAAGCCCGTGGCTCCTTGAAACGTTTTCCCGCCGGTTCCATTTCCCGCCCACTAGAACCAACCATATAAAAACCACCACCGCCACTGATACGCACAACAAAACTCTTCGTTTATCAAAACCCACAAACACTCTGAATCTGTTCGAGTTTGTGTTCAAATGGCGTCTGAACAACTGACTGAATACGAGCGAAAACGACTTCAAAACATTAAACGAAACGACGAGGTTTTTGCTTCTCTTAAAATACTCTCCAAGGCCTCCGATCTCTCTGCTGCTGGAAAGCGCCAAAAGTATATGTCTTTTTTCTCTCTATATGCGTTTGTGTTTGATTTTTAATTTTTATTTAAGACCCATCTTTATTTTCTCATTTTTTGGGGTTTCATTTGGATTAAAAGAAAAAAAAAAAAAAAAAAAAGGAACCTATTTTTGCCCTGAAGCCATCATTTTTTCTAGAGAAATCATGTGGGTATTGATAATGAGCGAGGCTTGTGATTTGTCATGTAAATTTTATTTCTATTGAATTGATGCTCGATATGTACAAAGCTGGGTCGGAGAACGAACCCGTCTTCATTTTCTTATTTTAGGTACTAATAAATAGATATGAAAAAGAAAAACTATTTTCTGCACCAAATCTATCATTTTTGTGGAGAAATTTTTAGGGTTTTGGGAGTGAATGAAGCCAGTGATAAGATAATATTGACCGGTAATTCTGAAATGTTAAAACTTGTAACAACATGAATTATAGCATAGAAAGATGCAAATAGGCTTTGAAATATTACATATTTGATGTTTGGTTTTGATATATAGTGGTATTTGTGAAAATAAGTCTTTTATTGTTCTGATTGTGCATTGATGTGTAAACAAAAAAGTTGATTTGTGCACGTATGTTACTTTGTTGGTGGCAGAGTTGAGACTAAATCATATAAAGTCAGTCCACAGAAGAAGGTCAAATCCGAGACTCCAGTTGTGATCAGGCGATCTCTAAGAACTCGAGGGATGCCGCCAGATTCTAAGGGTTTAACTGATGATTTTGCTCATTCTGATAATAAAAATTCGAAGTCTTTTAGTTTAGAGGAGTCCTCTTCTCCTGATTTAGAGGAGTCCTCTTCTCCTGATGTGAGCGGTCCTATTAGTTTCAAGGATGCTTATGCTGATAGAAGTGAGTCTGGTTCTGATAGACCACTTATCGATGCCATTTTGATTGTTGCTAAGCAACACCATGGTGGTTTAATTGAAGAGAAAGCTGATAGAGTTTTGGATATTGAAAAGAAACCACGAGTGGCTGTTTGTGTTAAACCAGAATGTGATGAGAACTTGAGTGAAAAATGTGATTTGGGTTCCTTAGTTAAAGATTTCGATGGGTCTAAGGCTTGTAAAGATGAGTTCAGTGGAAAGCATGACGCTTGTTCTTCTGATCTAATGAAGGGTGTGGTGAAGACAGAGAAGAGTGAACATGGGAGTCCTGTTGATTTGGGATCATTGACTTTGAAGCCAAACAATATAGCACGAATTATGCCTGGAAGGATACTGATAGCAAAATTTTTTCCTTCTAATGACATGAGGATGATTATGGCTGGGAATAAGTATGGGAATGTTGGATTTTGGAATTTAAATCCTATGCAAGAAGGAGAAGATGGGATTTATTTGTACCGCACTCATACTGGTCCTATATCAGGAATTGAAGTTCAACAATCTTGCTTGTCTAAGGTACTTGTTGTCTGAAACATTAAAAGTCTCATACATAATCTTTGCAGTTTGTTATACATTTCTCTTATGTCTTTCACATGTCACTTGGACTAAGCAACGGAATTTTAAAATGCTGTAGGTGTTATTTAACCAAGTACCGAAACATAAGCTTTTAGTCTTATTTTGTGATTTTGTGAGCCAATTAGTGCTAGTATTTTGTAATCTTCTATGCTATTCTTATATTATTTAATGTTTCTTGTCCTCCATGAGATGTTACTGATCTAGGTGTTTTGATTTTAATTTCAGATCTTTACCAGCTGCTATGATGGTTTCATCCGATTGATGGATGTTGAAAAGGAGGTATATGATTTGGTTCACTCCAGTGAGTACTCCATATATTCTCTTTCACAAAACCCAAACAACGTGAACACCTTATATTTTAGTGAAGGTCAAGGGGGATTAAATATTTGGGATGTTAGAACTAAAAAATGCACAACTGAATGTCGTCTTCATGAAGCTAGGATCAACACCATTGATTTTAACTCACAAAACCTGAGTATCATGGCTAGTAGTTCCTCAGATGGGACTGCTTGCCTTTGGGATTTGAGACGTATGCCTACTCATAAACCCAAACCTTTGAAGATAGCAAGTCATAAAAAGGCTGTGCATGCTGCATACTTCTCACCCTCTGGGAAATCCCTCGCAACAACAAGGTTTGTTATTTTATTAAGGTCACACATTTAGCTTTTATTCCTCTGTATTAGATTAATGCTATTTCATTAAGCTCTAATTTCTATTTTTTTTTTGTGTAGTTATGATGATAAAGTTGGAATATGGAGTGGAGTCAACTTTGAGGACACTTCCATGATACACCATAATAATCAGACGGGCAGATGGTTATCATCTTTCAGGTCTTCCTCTTGCCTGAATTGCTAACATGGGTCTTTCGTTTCAAATTATCTGCTTTATGTTTTATGACCAATCCAACAGCCTTTTGGTCGAAAACATTTTCTGATCCTTATTTTCTTAATGTTCCCATCTTAATCTGCGGTTCCCTGTGTCAACTGCAATTTTTGCAATAAAATGGCATCAATGCCAAACCCCGATAAATAGTCTAATCCCTTGAAATCGGAAACCCATGTCTAATAGGCCTAAGTTCAGGCATTTCTTGCTTATTTCTGATGAAATGAACAGTATGATGATGCGATGGGGAGAAAGTTGGAGCTGTAGCCAACATTTTCTGCTTCTGCAGTGCATGCTTCTTTGTATATCATGAAAGTTGAGTATATTTTTAACACAACTTGCTTCTTTACGTTGGAGCAGAGCGGTATGGGGCTGGGACGATTCATATGTCTTCATTGGCAACATGAGAAGAGGAGTCGATGTAATTTCTCCAGCTCAAAGAAGAACAATAAAGACTTTAGAGAGCCCATATTTGTCTGCAATTCCTTGTAGATTTCATGCACACCCTTATGAAGTTGGGACGCTGGCAGGAACCACAAGTGGAGGCCAGGTTTATGTGTGGACATCAAGCTAGGAATCTGCAGAAGAGTAATAATATAGTTGCTAAATGACACGCAACTGTTTTTGTTACCCAATTGAGAAGACACTCATGGCTTGCAGGATTTACTTTTAGTTGTCAAACTGAACTCACAGTTTTGAAACTGCTCTATGAGGGAAAGTATTATACTAGTTTTAGTGAACTTTCATGTAATCTGTAAATTTACAGTAAGATCGAGTTAATTTTTGATGTAGCAATTAAATCGCATCCCATGTTATCATAAAGGTATTGTTTACACTTTACAACTCTAAATTTTCACAATAAAACGGAGTTGATTTTTGATGTCTCTTTCTTGTTGTGAGAGCGGAGCAATTTGGGGTTGATATTATTCTTGTCTTCACCGGCAGAGTTAAAAGAGGAATTGATGTCCTGTCTCTAGCTGAACAAAAGATGATATGTTTTCAAGGAATCTGTAAAAATATTATTGAAACACTATAACCCTTGTTTCTTTCATATTTTGAATCATTTTTCTGTTATCTTATTTGTACTAAAAAATGGATGTTTGTTTACTTATTGGGATCATTTTTTTTTAAATCAATCTGCATCAGATAAGAATTTTTTTTTATTGAAAATGAAAAATGAAAATTGGGTGTGACTTGTTTTCTATTATCTTATTCTAACATTTTTTTAACTTTGTTCAACTAAAAATAATTACATTTTACAGTAAAAGACAATTATATTTTACAATAAAACTTTATACATTAACAAAAACATTCCCACCCATCCAAGCCATTCTAAGCCACCAACAACCATCATTGGCCACCGTCGACTGTTTTCGTTGGAACGATGCACTACCGGCCTGGCCAGAAACAACCAGATCTACAACTAGATCTAGTCATTGATGATGGCCATAGTTTAGCCATCAACAATGACAGCTAAATCCTGGTCGACTAGATTTAATCGATTATGTGTCATTCCGACGACTGCAGTCCGACAGTGTTGGTCAACTATCGACAGTATTTGAGTGAGTGGAGATGTTTTTGTTAATTTATAAATTTTTATTGTAGAAAGTGTTTAACTAAATTAACAAATGTAGAGGGTTAAAATATAATCTAAATTTTTCAAAAAATGTACCAAACAATTATTCTAATTTTTATCCAATTCTAATATAATTTTTAAATATTATATTAAACACATTCTCAAAATTCTATCCTATTTGATTTAATTGGATCTTATCCTATTCAGGTAATTTTTCAAAATATCATTTTTTTCAAATAACCTATCAAAGACGACACAGTATAGTGGAATTTGAGATTCTAGTTGACTATTGATTTATATTCTTCCATGCAGTTAGTTCAGCTGGGATTATATGTTCATTAGAAGAAAGCACAGCCTGTGCCATTAATTTTCCAAGCCAAGCATGGTACAATAAACCTCTTGAACCAAGTCCTCCAAATAGCCAGAATTTAGAGGTCTGAGTTTTACCAATAAGGTCTTCAATGCAACCCAGAAGTGGAAGTGATCCGTTGGCTGTAAGTGGTGGCATTGCTCTCAAACCTGCCCTAGCTCCAGTGAAAGACCAATTCTTTATGCCTGGATATATGGACGATGCCTTCGGCAGAAGCTCTTCTAAGGCTTGCGAAGCTTCATCCGCTGAGACATTTGGTGACGAATTTCTTGATTTCCATTCCCATGTTGAGCCCATATATACACTGCGAGGCCCCTGGACAGCTAGCCATGCATCTGACAATATTGATGGGCCATCATCTGGATAATCTTGCCTGAAGTATAGCATTCCAAAGAATAAGTCTTGCGAAAGAATAAAGTTTTCCCATCAAATGGTAACAAAGCACATGATATTGTTCACTAAACCATAGGCTTTTAATGCATAATAAAGCATATAGTAACTTTACCCTATACCATCAGATGGTTGTAGGCAAGCAATGACTCCTCGGCATGTTCTCAAAGGAAGCTTCCCAGAGAGCTCTGGAAGTATGTCTGCTTTGGCACCCATGCATATGATCACCGCATCATATTCCCCTAAACACATAAAGCAGAGATCAGAGTTCTACAAAAGAAAATGTTTTCATTAAGTATACTATGTTTGGAGCATGAAATATATGCTTCACAACTCTGGAAAACACCCACGACATGAGCTAAACACGATTAAGCATATAGAAAAATGACAACTGCCTGCCTGTCTATACATAAGAAACTCAAGTATATCATAAGATTGTTGCATACAAACTAGATGGGCAGTACCTGGGAATCCTAAAACATGAAAATCTGTCCAGCAGTTTTAATCACCGTTTGTAATATACAGAGAGAAAAAAAAAAAAAGAAGTTTAATCAACAGAATGAGAGATTACCTTCTAATTCAAGGAGATTACTGATAGATTTTTTATGAAGATACAACTCTTTCCTTCCAAAACCAGAAGTAGACAATTCCTTCACTAGATTTTTACATGCTAAGAAGAGCCCCTAGTAGATAACCACAAAACAAAGAAAATTTACAAAAAGCAAATGAAAACTCAAAGTAAAAAGGTCAGTGTCTTAGTTCTTCACACCTGAAGATAGCGCTGAGGATGAACATTGACAGCATCAGGCATATAAAAGGCAGCGTTCAAAGGAACACATAAATTTGGAACAAGACTTCGGGCAGCATCCTTACCAATAGTCTCGATTCTGCAACTGGAAAGGCAGTTCTGAGCATTCTAATGACATAAGCCAGAAATATCAATATTACCAGAAAATCATTTATCAATCACAAATATATTCAAGTTCCATTCAGGAGTTTCAGAAAAATTACATCATTCAATGTAGTCAAGGTCTTCGTATTGGTTGCAGGCCTCAATATGCCCCTGAATGAAAATGAAAGCAATGGAATATGTAAGAGCTAATTGATGCAGAGAATAAGATTTCAGCTTATATCCAAAAATATAGGAATCTAAATGAATTTCCAAGTCCCCTGCGTATAAACAACAAAGTGAACATAAAAGGAATCTGATTCGACAACAACATTAATTGCACCCTGGAGTGCGTATTTTTTATACCACACTTGTTTGAGAAGGAATATCAAGATCTAGAAAGAAAATTTAGCATGAAATGAAAGAGAAACTTGACTGAAAAGGAGACAAACCTTCTCCTTACTACAAATTCACCCAAATTTGGACCAGATTCCACCATTTCAGAATTCGATTCTCCTGAACAAATTGCTGCTTCTGCAATGCTTAAAAGCTTTAAACTTTCTTTCCAACATTCAGCACCCCGCCAAAGAAGCTTAGCTGCAAAAATTACAACATGTAATTCCAAAGGAAAAAAAAAATCTCAACTTCTCAAACAACATTCACATAGTTACCAAAAACCATCTAGGCTAGACAGAACTGGTAAAGAACGTAAAACAAACACAGTACGAAGTTTTCTACAACTTATCTACCAACCAAAAAAAACTTTCTAGTATTTAAATTTATTGTCAATTTTAAAATGAAGTCAATAAGAAAAAAACATGTTATTTCAGAAATTAAAACAAGCATTTTCTCATGTGATCAAAACATTCCCGATATCTTTACCTTCAATAACACAGAACCATCTTCCGGAACTTAGTTAATAAACCGTACAAAACGGACCCGTATCAAAACAACAAAAGTAGCATACATCTAAAGAAGATTATTCAATGAAAACCTTTAGGAGAATAAGGATGAAGGAGTCCTCCAGATACTCCAGAAGCACCACCTCCAATGCCAATCTCATCATATATATCAATGTATACATCCAACTCCTTAGCACTCTCCTGCACATTCAATGAAACCAAATTCAACTTCAACAACACCTTCAAAGCCAGCAAAAGGCAAATTTTTTATTAATAAATCCATACATTGCAAAATCTATCTTTTTTTTGTGTTTGGGTAGATATAATACATTAATCTAATCAAAATTTATACCTTTTAGTGCCCTTTATGTGATTTACTTAAAAATAAATAAAAACAAATAAAAATAAAAGAGTACTTTCAACAAATGCCAAGCAACTGAGAGACCAGCAAAGCCAGCACCGAGCACGGCGTATCTGCATTTAATTATTATAATTGAAATTATCTGTCTTTAATTAAAATAAATAAAAAATAATTTAAAAGTACTAGAAAGATGACCTGAGAGGACGTTGGGGGAGAGACGAGACTACAACTTGTGAAGCGGTTCTTCTACTGCGTAAACGACAGTGGTGGTGGTGGTCGCCGCCGATTACCGGCGACTTCCAATCGGCCAGAAGACTCTTGCCGGCCGGTAGCGGCGGCGGCGGCATGGCGCGTTTTGAGATTATATCTAACAGTTACTGGTACGATATAGTTAATTCTGCCGGTAGTTTTAACATGTCTGTTAATTACATCTAGCCCCAAATATAGGATAAATGTACATTTGGATCCATAAGTTTCCAAAAGTATCAAAAAACCCCCCAGAGGGTTTCTTCTGTTTATATAAACTGCTGCAAGAAAGTGTTGAGTTTAACACATTCATCCCATTTAAGCCCTCCATGTGAAGCTTCTCTAAGCTTGGAGAATTTGTTCTTCAACTTCATAATTTCCCTTCTAACCAGACTAGTTTTCAACTCAAACTTTAAAATAGTGCTTTTTAATATAATTTGTCAAGAAAATTTAATAAAATGAAAAAATCTAATTATTATTTATTTTGTAAAAAACGATCATTAATAACTTTTGTTAGTTTTTTAATTTGATGATTTTTAGTTTTTATTATTTATTTTGTAAAACAGAATTCAATTACATCTTTACCCTTATTTAAATTAAATCTAACATCTTCCCTTGTGGTCGAGTGGCAAGTTCTTTAACAACTGGGGTTAGTTATATCTAAGGGTCTTATGTCGGGTCTTGTGTTTGAGTCGTAAGAAAAGTACCTATCACATTTGTACAATTATCTTGATCCATTGGACTTATAGAGTATTCTGTAACCTTGAAAATTAAGCGGGCTCAAATAACAATTGTGCCCGAATACCTTAATTATTTAAATAATAATAATAATAAGTCTAACCTTATGTAAATGTTCATTGTCACTTAATTGAACAATTTATAACTTCTATTTTCTCATTAATAAAGTTTGAAGAATTTATACCCTAATTGATAATATTTCATCCCAATATATATATATATATATGCTTACTCTAATGCAACATATATTTCGACCAATATTACTATTATATCGTTTCAGTAACCAGCATTATTTGACACTCATCAACATAGATAATAGAATTCGAATACTGCACATATTTCTTACGATAGTAGTGAAATAAATGTCAATTGATAATGCAAAACATTGTTTTAAAACCCAGGCTAGCCAGTTGAATCGGTTCAACCAGGACCCAAGGCTTTCACTGGACCGAATTATCTGTTTTACTATTCACCAAAAACCCTTAAAAATTGAGATAATGATCGATGAACAACTGAAGGTCGAGATATTAGAGCTTCTAAAGAAAAAATGTCTATAAGTGCAATGGTCGCGACAGAGTTGATTTTCGATGGATGAATCGACTAGAAATCGAAAAAAAATAGGCGACGACAACAACTAGCTTTTGCCGATGATTTACGAGGCTAACGAGGGTAGGCCCAATAGGGTGAGGTGGGTTTTGGTCAAGAGGCAAAGTGAACTATTTTCAGAGTGATGGGAAGGTTTGTCGATGCCAACATCAATGAGATTTAACTTGAAATGTCGACGTCCATGAGATCTAACCGAAATCAAACCAATTTCTGTCAAATCTTGACTAGATTTTATAGGGAATAGGCTCAATGGATGATTGGGATTGCATTTGAGATATCATTGTCGTCAACTAGTTTTGTATTTTAGGATATGTTTGCTAAATTTCAAACCTGTAAAGGCTTACATAACTTTCAAGGGTGTATTTACAAAATTTTAATTTTTTTGTCACCCGATTTGACCACCAGCTAAACTGGTCAACCTGAGATCCAACAACTTTGTCGAGTTTCACCTCGGGTTAGGTTTTAAAACATTGATGCAAACATCAAAAACCTAGTCTTCAAATTCCTTTTTTTTTTAGCCTTATACAATACAAAGAAATGCTACACTTACAAAGTGCCCCATACAAGATGATGTTGCAAATTCGCGAGTCTTCCTAATACATTCGACCTAGTCCCTCTCTTTTTCTAAGCCATTTCCCCTCCAATGTTATAAAATCAAATGTTGATCAATCATATCAAGATATTTTTCCATGTAATCTGGCATGCCAAAGTCATACATCTAGTACAAAATTCGAGCTACAACAGTAAACACTTTAGGGAGTTAATGTTCATGAAACATAATACACAGACAAAAATAAAAGATCTCCAACTGTACAACTTCGATGAACTCTGCAGTCAACCTAAGGCTCAAGATCCTTGTCTTTGTGATGGCCAAAGCATCTATTAGCTAGCCATCTTTACCACCCTCCAATCAGCAATCATATCTATGCAATAACTAAATAATTCTTGAATTCGCTCAGACAATTTACAGCAACTGCAAATACCAAATATTACATATATAAACATGCCTCACTACTGAAACTGATTGCTCTGTCAAATCTACTTGTTGACATTTCTTTTAACCGGATGCAGAAAAAATTGCGTCGTCTGAGTCCACCTTTTGCTGAAATCATGAATAAGATCGAATGGGCATGTCAGAAACTTGTGTGATTAAATTTGATTGCAAAAAAAGTGTTATTAATCTACAATACAACATACCAGCTTGAGATGTTTCAGCAAAGCTCCATGTAGTATCCTTCTTAGCTTTTCACACTGATCAACCATGTGACCCAACCTGGTCATATCCTCGAGTTGGCACCATAGACGCTCTATTGTTGTGTATGGGAACCAAACAGCAAATGGTCTTTTCCTATTAATAATGTCAGCTGGTCTCTGCAAAAGTTTTACAACGGCAGCATTCTTTAGTACTCAACCATTGGAATATCATTAAAAAACACTTGTAGATGAACATAATATCTAGAGCAAAAACAAATAAATTAGGTATAGTTAGACTTTGTAATTTTCTTTTTTAAGAAAATATTAAATTTTATTCAAGTTTTATGGGTTTTAGGGATTCGCCCCAGCCAGGCCAAAGACATCAATCCCTGCCCCCGAAATCAAATTAGGGATGAACGATGATCCCCATCCAATAATTTGGACACTTAATCAATGCCTTTAAGATGACCGAGAAGACTTATCCAGTATCTACTACGGTTCCATTACTAAAGATGGGACAAGGATTGCTTAAATTAGAATTCAGAGATATACATAAAATTATGTACAAGTGTGATTAAAAAAAAGCCAATATTGATGATGCTTAGGCATTGCACAGCTAAAAGCACAAGTTATCAAAAGTTCTCTCTTCGGACAAAGATTTAAAAGGCTCACACAATTGCTTTTCTCACAACATGGGGAGAGCAAATTTGCATCCAAACCATGTCCAAAATCAGTTGTATAGTAGCATAAATTTTCACAATTTTAAGAGTTCAATGATAGTCCTGGTTAAAACAAACATACAAACAGGGATATTGGCTGGTCTAGTATGCAAGATAAGATAGCCAGGGAAGATAGAAACTTACCATTGACGCAAATGACTCTATGTACTCCAGCAGCAAATTTGTTGCCTCTGTATATCGACCATAATCAACATATAGTCGAAACAAGGATGCAGGACTTGATTCTTGGCCAGTCATACCCTTGGTCCTATCTCTTTGACCATCCTGTCAAACCAATGGAAACACAAATAGATTTTGGCATGACATATCATCATACTACAATGATGAGAAACTATGCAGCTCTAGTGAAAGACAATGGACTTATAAAAGAGAATTAATTGTGGAAAGGGAAGAGCTTGATGAAACGGATCATCATAAACATCTTGGACAGCTAGAATCATATAGAGTAAACTAGAGTCACTTAATCAAGCTTGCCAACGCAAGAAGGGCCCTCAAGAATAATACTAGGTTGATGAATATATCAATAAAAAAACTAATAAAAGGATCAGTATATGTTTGTCCCTTCTGGATTCATCACACAGTCGATAAAAACAAGATGTCCATCGTCTAGCAAGAAAAATCACCTTGAACATATGAACCAACCATAGAGGCAACTCAATCTCTGAATCCATGCGAAGAAGTGTCTCAGCAACAACTACTGGTAATCCAGCATGGAAATCTTTATATTTTTCCTGCAATTATGAAATATTCCGTCAGGGGAGATTTGACGGAGCAAAAATGTTTTTTTTTTTTAAAAGAAACTCAAGAAAACATTATAAATTGACAAGAGTATTACAAAGAAGTGAACAAGCTGTCCACAGTATATCTATACATGTATGAGTAAAGATAGCCCAAAAACAAAAACTAACTAAAGATACAGGACATAAAAAAGGTCCTCAAATCCAAAAATAAATAAATAAATAAATAAAAAGGAAAACACTCCGTTAATCACATCACTTCAGCCTCCCAATTGTTAAGAATACAAGGCACATAAAAAATTTATGTGACGTAGAAGCCCAAAAGTTAGCGTTGTCCCATCAGTATTCAGTTTCAACACAAAATCAGCACTTGCAATCCCTATCAACTTCCTTCCAATCATATGTAGAAACAGCATGAGGTGCAAGTAAATGTACCACTAAGTACTTAAAGAACTCTCAATATCAAATTTAATTCCCAAGAGTTTTACCAATTAGCCGTATTAGAAAACAAAATAAATCTCTAGACTAGCTTAGCCCCATCTGAACTAAATTGTGTAAGTTCAGGACTAAGAGAGAAAGGAAAAAAAGAGACATTAGAGGGAAATGTTGAGTGAAAAAACATAATAATAATATATGTTAGTTAAGCTACTTCTGCTAGAATTATTTTCATACTACTGTCTTCATCTAGACATAGTTAATATACAGTATTAGGTATTCAAGTTGAAGTGCCGCAGGCAGAAATATATATTAACTTAGTTAAGAGTAGCAAAAAGAAAAAAGGAAGCCAAAAAATTAAAACATGCAAATAATACTGACAAGATAGAGCTCCAGGGTTTCCCATTGACCATTCGCCTTGTGTTGTTTAGTGGTCGGTATGTTATCAGGAGAACCATGAACAACCACTTCATCTTTTGATGATGTAAGCAAGAGACTGGGAGTCCTGAAATCATTCTTAAGATTAGTAAATCACAGTATAATACATTTACAAGGAGATACACATGGTTCAAAGTAAATGAACAAAAGCAAACCAGAGTTGCTCGGATGAGAATTGTCTTACCCGCTATAAGAGGAACCTGCTTTACTCGGACAACAGTTTAATGACATAGCAGAGAAAACTCTCTCCAATTCACTGAGCAAAAGGAAAAATGTAATATTACTGAAATGTGAAAGGAAGCATGTATGCTAACTGTGGAATATATTATGCAACCCAAGAACAAAATATATATACCTCTTCAATCTTGAACCCTTGCAAAAGTTTAAAAGAACTGTAAATGCCATATCATACAAATTTTTCTGGACCAGCAGATCAACCAAATCTAATGGGGCTTTGTCAATTCCTGGAAGAAATTTAGTATATAAATAATACGTTATTTAATATGGAAAAGAAAAGATAAGCAACAAAGGAAAGCTAATACTCAAAAAATTCTTAGAACAAATCTTGAGAAAAAGAAAATAACGACAATTTTTTTAATAATAGATTTCGTGATTTCCCCACAGCAAGCAAAGATAACAAGGAAATTAAATTTAACAAATTGTTAGAGACCGTGGGAGTATATGTGTCAGATACCACGGCATGAGTACTGATCTGCTTTGTTGACATTCCATTCTATACCCATGCCAAATACTATGTTATATAGGAGACAACTACACTAACACATTGAGTTTAAGGTCTAGTAGATGCACCCGGTTAAATCATAATAATATAGGACCCCATAAAGAAGATTACCATTAAATGTCCATTTGACATTTTCCACTGAGAGTAAGTATTCAGCCGAAGTTAGCACAAACTCTTTCTCAAGTTTCTGAATATCTATATATGAATGCAGCCTTTGAGGTTGAATATCATTGCCAGCCACTGCAATGAGAAAGCATATTATTTCCTTGAACTAAATATTACATCCGTCATTTTATAAACATAAAGAAATATCAACTAAATATCCAGTCAATAAGTCACCAGTGGGCTGCAATATAAACATATACCAAGGAAAAATCAAATATGAAGAGCCAGTTTGAGACTGCTGTAGCCAGGCTATAGAAGATAATCTACTGTACAGACAACGTACAAGAAATTTGATAAACTTTAATTAAAACTTGTGTTTTTAAATCGTATATGTATTTGGTAATTGTAATTGGTAATTAATTTGGATAATGATTAATATAATACTATGTTGCAATATATATTATTTTATTAGGATACCTTTAGATTTATAATTTTATCAGACCACGATATAGGCTGATCTTGAAATCCTACTCCTAAATGATTTTGAAAATCCTTAATAAAAAATCAGCTTATAGCATAATCACTTTTGTAAGATAATTACCCAACACTTTTGAGTTGTTTATTTATTTCATAAGTTACAGCAATCCCAAACACACACAAAACCTAGCAAAATAGCAAACATAAAAACCAAATTTCTTGGTTGACTACTTACATTGTTCTTTTACCATCTTTTTAGCCTTTTTACTAGGATAATTCTCATTTTGAAAAGAAGTTTGCCCAAGCAAAGGATCAATCCAAGCATATGTAGGATGAACAAGATGCAGGGCATTGATAGCTGCAGAAAGCCCATTCAGCCTCTCTTGAAGCACCAATAAAATCTGCTGGTGATCTTTTGGAAGTGGTCCATTTCTCAAACGAGCAGAATACAGGTATATGTAAGTAGCTGCCCTTCTCCAGTTATGCCTTTGCATTTCAAATGCATAAAGCAACTTATATGGGTTTGGTCTCGCCAAGACATCTGAACGTTCTGCCTGATTAGTGCAAATATGTCAAAGATAAACAGTAAGCAAGAAACTATTGAGAATGCAGAAGCAAGGAAACTTGATTTTCTTCTTTGCAGCTAGGACATACCTTCCAGGCAAGCTCTCGTTCAATCTTCTCTGCTAAACCAATGAAGGGTAGTTGACCATCACAAAGAAACTGTAGTAAACATATATGAAAGTCCCCAAATAATTAAAATATTGATTAAAAAGTTTGTTTCCTAGGAATAAAAATGAGGAACTCTATAGACACTCGCAATAAACTTTGAGCAGGTTCTCCCACACATCACATAAAATAATACAACTCTATTTACTTTGGTAAACAAAAATAATTACATGTGTAACACTAGACAAGAACTGTAAACTTGGAAAGTGAAAATGACATAATAACAAGAAATTGATGGTGATTCCCTGCTAACATTTATGGCTTTTTCAGTCCCCGTTAACTCCAGTGTTTGGCATATACTTGATTCCTAATTTGAAAACAGAAGTATAATTGGAGAGAATATGTTCATCACCCCATGGAGGTCAAGTTATAAAGTGGTTCATGTTCCTAAATTACATTACCCAAACTCCAGTTTAAGAATATAATCTGTTTTCATTCCTTTCTAAAGGCAAAAATTAATAACGATACCAGTAACAAACAATGAAGAACAAAAGGAAGAATTATGATTTGGTACAGAACCTTTGTTGCTTTGCGCTCGTAGAGAACTATAACAAAACGTCTCAGGCAGATGTATTTGCTCTCCTCATCAGGATTTGAAATTATTGCACAGTATGCATCATGTAAAAGATTAAGATCTAAAGTAAATTTGAAGACATTCGCCCAAAGTCGCCCTTTGATAGTAGTGGCTGATTCATTTTGTGGATTTCCACCATAACAATCATCTTCTGGACCAACAGCTTCATCAACTTGCTCAAGTGCAGCAAGAGCAAACTGGCAAGAACCTTCACTACTATTATATTGCTCAAATATCTGCATTGCCCATTGATAGTAATGAAGCTTCCATGCAGCAGATGACAAACAACCATCTGGGTTGAAAAATAAAGATTTAAATTAATGAAAAAATTATATCAGCCATTAGTTCAAAAGATCAAAGAATTGTTGCTTTGTGTGGAATTATTAGAATTTTCTTGAATCAACTTACTTAAACCAAGATGTGGCAACCCTGTTTTGTGAGATAAACTTTGCAAAGCCTCACAAGCTCCTTGTCCAGATGAAGCTCTGCAGTAAGTAGTTTAAATGCCAATCAAAAACCACGCTATAGGCATTTAAGCAAATAAGCATAAGCCAAATATAATAATCAGTTTGAGAAAGAAAAACAGTAATTATCTATTGAAAAAATAATGTTTATTAAGAAAATATGATTTTAGAGCTGATTTTGCTACCTAATTATAGAGAACTCACATTATGTTTTACACTGCAAAAGAATTTGAAAAGAAGTTAATTATTAAACATACAAGCCAAATCTGCTTTATGCCAGAAGCAAGAAGTCTGGACATGGTCCAAAAATATGAAAATCCAATTACTGAGATGAGCAGAGAGCCTCAATCGTACAGAGAGGTATTAAGTTTTGAAAAAGATCCCTAAGATAATAGTCAAAAATCCAATAAACTAAACAAATTTAACTAAAATTAGTATAATATTTTGGGCAAACATACAGCCCAATGCTCTCAATCTATCATCATTTAATGGAACTTTGCATCAAAACAAGTACAAGCTCCCAAACAGCTCTCATTAACACATGTCCAACAGGTTCAGTAGCTTTTCCCATTCTCAAAAACTGAAGCCTGTCTGCTGATGAACTTTTGAACCATTAGAAACAAAATTCTGAAATATGAAATAAAACTAAGTGAAAATTTTACATTATCTTTTTTCTCAATTTGCCAGACAAGTCAGATTCCAGTGCCCCCTCTGGAGCTGATTTCGTAGGTTACACAGTAGAACACGAAGATTATAGCAAGTAATTACGATATTTATAAAGATATTAAATACCTGAAGAAACAACGAACAGCTTCAGTGACTTTCTTCTCTTTAAGAATTCCAGGTAATCCACATTGTGCTTGTGCCAGAAGGCAACATCCCAAAAGATGTTGAAGAAGAGACCAATCACCACCAGTATCTTGGATACTTCTAAATATTTTCTCCTTTTGCNAGTACTAAAAAGAGAAAAACCATAATTTTTAATGTTTCTCTTTGGTCTAAAGAGTTAATGACTTTTTCCCACCCAAATAATGGTTTAATGACGTTTTACTACCCACATGCTTTTAAAATGCCACTTTAATACCTAAATTTATATTCTTGTGACTAAAAGAGAGCAAACTCAGTGCAAACTGTTTGAGCTTTTGAAGAGAGGAGACCGATGAATCTTTTAGTGTTAGAAGGTTGAGAAGAATTTGACTTGGGAGAGACAGTTGGACAAACTCTAATCGTTCGATTGTTGACAATTGGCAGAGTTAACAGGAGTAGGGTTTGAAGGGTTTTAGTGAGTGAAGATCGGGAAAGATAATAATGGTGGTGTGAGATCACAATAATGTCAAAAAAATAAAATATAAGTTTAGATAGTAAAGTGGTATTTTAAAAGTCTGTAGGTGGGAAAAAGTCATTTACTCTATTCTAAATGTGTTAATTTGAGTTTGAGATGAAGAGCAGGTAAAGATAATTGTATACTGCGAATCATTGTACAACTTATTTTTGTAATTGAATTATCTATTATTAAATTCTATCAAATATCTCAATTATTTTAAGAGTCATATTACAGTTGCAAAGGTTTTATACAAAATCATTTATAGAAAACATTTTGTATAGAGTATTTATAAGTGTGATGTGATATTATTTTTGATCGTATAAAATAAATACATGAATTGTAAATGCATATTGAAACTTGGGATTTTTTTCCTTGGAAACTTTACAATGTTTTGATACAAGCTTATGTAAAGTTAGTTGATAATTGTAAAAGATGCAACTTTCACATGGGGGCTGAGATTGGACTAAATTCTTTGTTTGTTGGAAGGTTTTGGAGATTGGAATTGGAATCAAATTTATCCCAGAACAACGGGATTATTATTCTTATTATTAAAATTAGAGGACGAAAGTATTTTATAATTTAAAATTAAATGTTAAAAGTTTTTAATTAATGTTGAATATAAATATTTTTATTCACTCTCATACTTCACCAAACACTTTCCTAATGTAATCCTGCCTCCCAAATGCAACCTTAGCCTTAGGGCACAAATGGTAACAAAAGTACCAAATGTTTAGCTCCCTTCCAAATTGTTGGGATCATTTGATTCAAATGGTATTTTCTTCAGAGTCAAAGGAACCCAAATAGTTGTATAAAATTTATTTTGTTTTTTCTCAAAACACAAATATATATACTGAAAACTGAAATGAGCGACCGCTCTCACATTTCAAGCATCAGAATACTACTTTTTGATTTATAAGCATTGTTTTAAAAATCGAATCGGAGAGCAACCTGCTCTACTGGCCGGGTCACGGTCCAACCGGTTGGACCGTCAATTGGACCGGTGACGTCATCACACTTAATTGAATTGTCATTTGAAGAGTACATGTATTTTCTTTTGTGTCAATTAATTTACAAGGATTTCAATTTTAAGCCCCAAAGCCCTTAGAGTTCGAATCATATTGGCTGTAAATACAGAATATTAATCAAAAATAAAATTAGACAATTTTGAACTTAATTGAATTGTCATTCAGGCAAAAATATTTGTCAACTCATTAATTTCCAAGAAGTTGATTTTCTTTTCGTTTATAATAGCAATTAGATATAATATTTCAACAAAACTTAACTAGACATATAAGATACTAATCAAAATCAGATAAGAGAATTCAACTTTTATTGTAATTTCGTTTGAATAAAACTATCTGTCAACCCATCAATTTAGAGTAGGAAATTGATTTTCTTTTGGTTTATAGAGCTGAAATCTTGTATTGCAGGTGATTCAGAAGGTGTGGTGCCAAAAAAGAGAATGATAAGCCACTCAGTAACAATTTCTTTAATCATCGGAATCAAGTCAAGTTGTATTCTTGCTATGTCATCATTCATCATGCAACATACTGTCCTCATAAGTCCTTATTCCATTCACAAACATATAAACATTCAAGTAAGACGTGTTTATAACCTGGAAATACAAATACATAATCTGGAAATACATGCACATACAATAAGTACTTAGCAACAAACATACCACAAAATCAGTTGATAGTTGTACATAAAATAACTCAGTAAAGTTTGCAATGAAATCATTATTGAAGCTGGATCGAGGAATGGCGTGTTTATAACCTGGATCGAGGAATGGAGCTGTCGTCAACAATTGGAGTTGTCGCCGTCGATTTCCAACGAGGAAAGGAGCTGTCGTCATCGATTTCTAACGAGAGAGGAAGACGTCGTCGATTTCCGGCGAGGGAGGAAGACATCGTCGTCGATTTCAGAGAGTTCAGTTGGGATTTCAGACTTCGGTAAGTGGAGTTGATTGCGATTTGAGTGGGATTTCAGAGATAAATTTTCGTAGAGAACACAGAAGAAACTGAGAAATTTTCGCAGAGAAGAGAAAAAGCTAAGAAATTTTCACAAAGAATTAGAGAAACCGAGACTGAGAAGAAGCTGAGAAACAAAGAAAGGCCTTCGATTGCGTATTAAGGATTTAGGGGTTTTAAAGTTTCAACCGGTTTGACCGACGGTTCGCTGAGTTTATCCGGTTTTCAAACGGTTTAAAGCGGTTTAATGCATTATAACGGTTTTGGGGTTGACTCGAACCGGACACGTGACCGGTTCCCGATCCAACCGATTGGACTGGCCGGTCCGGCTCTTAAAACAATGTTTGTAAGTAAATAATGTAACTAAGATTAAATTCCATGCAAAATCCTTAATTATTTTTTATTATGACTTGATAATCTTACAAGTTGGAATTTAAGAGAGGCATTATAATCATCAAAATGAGTAGAAAAATCAAATTCCCCTAAACAATCATTACCCGCCACTATGTTTGCTCTTTGTACATGCAAATGAGGGCCATTTTTCATTCTATTAATATCAACAAAAAAAATGAAAGCCAAAGAACCATTTCTCACTGATATTTTAATTCATTACACAAATTAAAACACCATAATTTTTTTAACAAGGTGCAACCAATTACCCACCCATCACAAATGCACTACCACATATTCCAAGCAGGCTACGGTTTTCCCACAACATAACACAACATTTTCAAATATAAAATGCAAAATCTAGATGATCAGAATTTCTCTCTTTCTTTCTTTCTTTCTTTCTTTTTTTTTTTTTTTTTTCAGAAAACATAGAAGACCAAACATAACAATGACAGAGATGGTAAAACTAATTCTTAGGGCCAATGTCCTTCAGGGCACAGATCTGCTCCTCACCCATAGCAGACATCACGCTCACAACCAAATCCTTCCCTGATTCAAATCCTTCCTTGATCTGCATTCAACAATAATTCAACACATGCAAATAATAAGTTGAACTTTCCGAACATTTAAAACATGCTTTCAATACACATTCAAAAACCACAAACATATAAACAAGTTAAAAGAGTAAATTTAGTGCGGTCAAAAGGTTCTTTCAAATAATCAAAAACCCTTTACATTAATTCATTTCACATATCATTTGACTGAGGTAAAAGGAAACCCTTTTTGGGGCCTAAAAACCCATCCATGTGCTTCAATAGATTCTGCTTTTTGAATAACAGTATCACTTGAAATGCATTTTTAGAAAATCTAGATAAATCCTTTTGTAAAAAGAATTTCCTAGTACTTCTACAAAAATACACACAAAAACACCATAAGAAATAAGTGAAAGTAGCTAAAATTGAGCAGAAAGTCAGCAGTCTCATAAATGAAATTGAATGTAATATTCCCTGACATGGAAACAGGGATAAATAATTTGACCTGGCTCAGCAGACTATCATCAGTTGGGAGCCTAAGATCATCCTTAGTGTTCCCATTTTCAGTAAGCAAANTGGTTTTCTGTATTGGGGTTATGTAAATGCAGTTTATTAACTTATATTTCTTAGAAGTTGTATTGTCCCATGTGGTCGAGATAGTTGAATATTATAGTGTATATATTTGGTTGACCTCTCTCTTCTTTTGAACTAGTTTTTGAGAATGAGTTCTACTTAAGTTAATTTATCATAGTATAAGAGTCATATTTGTTTGGGTCAATGATGAGTTTGGATATGAACTTTGCATGTCGAGCATGCATCACTAAGTTAGTAGAGTGTTATGATGTATGTAGTTTCGAGCAATAAAAAATTATTTTCACTAGACGATAGTCAGGAAAAAAGAAAATTATTGAGTCAAAATTATTGTTATTGTTATTGTTAGTCATTTTAAAAACTTCACATATCCTCAACTAGTTCTTGAATTTAATGCATTGTTTTAAAAGCTGAATCGGACCGGCCGGTCCAACCAGTTGGATCGGGAATCGGTCACGTGTCCGGTTTGAGTTAACCCCAAAATCTCTATAATGCACTAAAACGCTTTAAACCATTTGAAAACCGGATAAACTCAGCGAATCATCAGTCCAATTGGATCGATGGAAAAACCGGTCGAAATTTTAAAACCCCTAAATCCCTAATATGCAATCGTAGCCCTTTCTCTGTTTCTCAACTTCTTCTCAGTCTCGTTCTCTCTAATTCTCTGTGAAAATTTCTCAGCTTCTTCTCTGTTCTCTATGAAAATCTCTCTGAAATCCCACTCAAATCGCAATCAACTCCACTCATTGAAGTCTGAAATCGCAACTGAACTCTCTGAAATCGACGACGACATCTTCCTCCCTCGTTGAAAATCGACAACATCTTTCTCCCTCGCCAGAAATCGACGACGACAGCTCCGTTTCTCGCTGGAAATTGACGACGACAGCTCCATTCCTCGATCCAGCTTCAATAATGATTTCGTTGCAAACTTTACTGAGTTATTTTATGTACAACTATCAATTGATTTTGTGGTATATTTGTTGCTAAGTACTTATTGTATGTGCATGTATTTCTAGATTATGTATTTGTATTTTCAGGTTATAAACACGTCTTACTTGAATGTTTATGTTTTACTTCTATTGTATGTTTGTGGATGGAATAAGGATTTATGAGGACAGTATGTTGCATGATGAGTGATGACATAGCAAGAATACAACTTGATTTGATTCCGATAATTCAAGAAATTGTTATTGAGTGGCTTATCATTCTCTTTTTTGACACTTCTAAATCACCTGCAATAGAAGATTTCGGCTCTATAAACCAAAAGAAAATCAATTTCCTACTCTAAATTGATGGGTTGACAGATAGTTTTATTCAAACGAAATTACAATAAAAGTTGAATTCTCTTATCTGATTTTGATTAATATCTTATATGTCCAGTTAAGTTTTGTTGAAATATTATATCTAATTGCAATTATAAACGAAAAGAAAATCAACTTCTTGGAAATTGATGAGTTGACAAATATTTT